CAGAGAACACCAGAAATACATTTACCTGTGTTTAACTGATTATGCAAAGGCATTTGACTGAATGGGTCATAACAAAATTATGGATAATATTGCAATAAACAGGAATTCCAGAACATTTAACTGTGCTCATGTGGGACCTGTACATAGACCAAGAGGTTTGAACAGAATGAGGGGATAATGCATGGTGTAAAATCAGAAAAGTTGTGCATCAGGGTCGTATTCTTTCACCATACTTATTCAATCTACATGCTGAGCATATACTTTGAGAAACTGGAAGAACCCAGTATCAAGATCAGAGGAAGAGTCATTAACAACCTGCAATATGCAGATGATACAACCTTGCTTGCTGAAAGCAAAGGTGACTTGATGCACTTATTGATAAAGATCTGTACACCTTAATATAAAGAAAACAAAATCTTCACAACTAGAACAAAAAGCAACATCATGATAAATGCTTAAAATATTGAAGTTGTCAAGGACTTAATTTACTTGAATCCACAATCAAGACCAATGGAAGCAGCAGTCAAGAAATCAAACAACGTATTGCACTGGGCAAATGTGCTTTAAAGTGTTAAAGAGCAAAGACATCACTTTGATCACTAAAGAGCAACTGATCCAAGCCATGGTATTTTCAACTGCCTCATATATATGCAAAATCTGCACAATAAATAAGAAAGACTGAAGAAGAATTTGTGCTTTAGAATTATGGTGTTGGTGAAAAACACTGGGTATTCCATGGACTGCCAGAAGAAGAAATGAATTTGTTTTGAAAGAAATACAGTCAAAATACTCTTAGAACTGTGGATGGCGAGACTTCTTCTCACGTACTTTGGACATTAAGAGAGTCTAGTCCCTAAAGGAGAGCTCTGGTAGCATAGTGCCTAAGGCACCTGACTGCTAACCAGAAGGCTGGGGGTTCAAACCCACCAGTCACTCCTCGGAAGGAAGGTTGGGCAATCTACTTCCATAGTGATACTGCCTCGGAAACCCAAGGAGGGGTCGCTATGGGTCAGGTCCAACTCCACAGCAATGGTTGCCTGGTTAGTCCCTAAAGAAGGACATGATGCTTGGTAAAGTAGAGGGTTAGTGAAAAAGAGGAAGACTCTCAATGAGCTGGACTGACACAGTAGCTGCAACAATATGATACAATAACCAAAGTTGAGTCAAAATATACTGTGTTAAATAAATGAATAATAAATCTTTAATTTTAATTTTTTATGTTATATTGCATAATCTGTTTCTTGGGTATCTTTTTCAGAATATGTTGATTGACTTGGGTGATAAAATGACAATTTGGGAGGAAAAAGGAAAATACTGCCCCATAAAGAAGTAATGAAGTAGTTGTCAGCAAAAAAGTAAAAATAGCATGTTGAGTATCAGGTACTAAAGATAAATAAAACCACTCAAATAAATGTTAGCAATTAAGGGACTGCATGGCAACACTGCTTTTAAAATGAAATAAACTACAGAAAACCTAAAGTTATTTGACAAAAATTGGAGCAATACACATACCTTTTGACTCAAGGTTATATAATCCATGTATTCTCTGCTTTGCATTATCAGAGACTCTGATTTTTGGATGTGAAAGAGGTAGTAAAAGCAATGGATTAGAGTCAAGAGAACTACATTCTCCCCAAATCCATTAAGTGGGGAAGAGAATGTTTGTTTAATAAATGGTGCTGGCAAAACTGGAGATCCATTTGCAGAAAAATGAAACAAGAT